TGATATTATTATTTAAAGTAACACTGCACTGGCAATAAATGGTGGTTCAGTGTTCATTTTGGTAAATTTAACTGACATTCTGTCTTGCAGAATTAACATTTTGTATTACTACTAAATTGTGTACATTTTGGTACAGACTACTTTTTCAGTTTCAGTAAAACAATGGAAAACCTACTGGCTTAATTGTGGTATGTTGACCTTAATTAATGTCTTAGTGGCGTAAAAGGAGAAGGCTGAGGAGAATAAGATTGGACATATAACAGCCACAGAGCAGCGATATGTTACCAGAACTTCTCACCTTGCTGGCAGAAGCCTGTTCTCATTCAAGCCTTCCTGAAGTTGAATTACGCAGGTTGCCCAGATGGGAGAACTGATTCACTTCAGCCTTAGTATTACCTTCTGTTGAAGCCTGTTTGAGTGTTTCTTCTATTTTCCAAATGACTGCAGAATTGCACTTTTGGCAGTCTCTTACATGCCTACTGAAAGATCGGGAGAAATACTTTTTATCTGTTACTTGGTATCTGAATTTCTATCAAGATACATAGCACAGTTTACATATTATTCTTCCAAGACAGGTCAACTTAGAGTGAAGACCTGCCATATCACATGAAGAATTATTTGATATTAAAAGTTCCAATAACCGTGCATCCTAGCGAGCCCATTGATCCAGTATTTAATCAGGATGCCACTAAAGATCCTGGAAATTATTAAAACCTTAGAGCTCATTCCCATGTGTGATCTTAATGTCCATGCAGTGTAGCCTGGATTCTTATTCAGTCTCTTCTGTGCTACAGCTATTAAGCCAGAATTGGCAGTTAGCATTTCAAACTTTAGGGAACTGAAAGATTCTTACTTAAACACATTACAGTAGAATATTTCAAGATCGCTGCAAAGCCAGACTGTTTCAAATGTTTTAAAATCTTCAGTGAAATTAAAAACAGTAAATCTGTGTTTGATAACTAATTTGCTCCCTGCTTTACCTGGACTTACCTCCTTTCTTCTGTGCGTTGCAGTTCCTTTCCTTGTCAACGAAAGCTTCAGCTGCCTGTGGCTTTGAAGCTCTGCAGCACCAGTTGTATGAATTTTTGTCCCCCTTAACTTACCCTGCTGCTTGAGGAAAACTTAAGTTACACCTTACCTCGGCTTGCTGCTGGGCCTTATGGGCTGCTGCTCACATGGATCCATGATGATGCCTATGGTACTTGTGTGTCCCGAAGCTAAGGGAACAGGAGCTGGTAGCGGGCAAGTCTGTCCAGCAAGGACCTCCGCGCAGACATTGTGCACCAAGTCTAAGTCTAGCTAGGGCTGTTGCTACACCCAGCATTACTTTGATGGATGCTACTGTCAGCACTACACAGGGGAACTTTCCCCATCCTGTGGATACAGCCCCTCTCTGTCCATTCAGCTGCAGTTTGAAGTGGGGTGAGAGCCTTTTTTCTTTCTTTCTTTTTTTTTTTTTTTACAAACACCCTCTTAAAAACATGCACCTTAAGACAAGCGTTCTGTCTGCATGCGCTATGGGGAGCTGTGTCCGTTTCCCTGCCTCTCTGGCTGTGGCTGTGGTCTGGCCGTGCTGGGGGTGCGTAGATGCTGCGGGGGGCGGCAGCGGCTGCGCTCCCTGCAGCAGCCATTCCCCTTCCCCGCAGTCTCGAGGCAGTGCTGCGTGGGCAGGTACTCCTGGCAGGCACGCTGTGCCTCGTGCCCACAGCAGTTACAACGTGACACTTCCAGCACTGGCACCTGTCTCACTGGGCAGCAAAGGTCACTGCTGGCCTCGAGAGATTGCTGCTTGCAACCTGTTCCATGAGAGGAGGAAACCTCTGAAACCAGTCTTATCTCCACAGTGCCTTTGGAATACATCATATAATGCCAAATTGCCTACAACTTCCCGTCTTTACAACCGTTTTATGTGCAAGCAGCTCAATTACCACATGGCACACAAAGGATTCTAGCCCCAGCTTTCATCAGTCTCCCCCAAATCCAGAATCCAGCAACACTCCCATTCTTACAATTCAGGGGGATAGAAACACTATGTCTTGGCAAGAGTATTTGCCGAGCTCCACAACAGAGAAATAAAGATCAACCTCTCTTGCAGAGAATCATATAGGGGTGAAGTACCTGTGCCATAAAATGATACCAATGACCTGTGTGACCTGGAGCCACCAGACTGGGGCAAACCTCTTGTGCTCACTGCAAGCCTAGCTGTATGAAGCTGGAGCTTCTAGCGCTCCCGCTGCTACCACAACATCGTTTGCCAAATTGCTGCCCTTTAGCCTGTAATAGACTGCTAGGCTCTAAGGACAAGCAGAAGGCAAGGCCAAAAGGGAGGGTTGTAGCCTGGTAATCATTAATCTGCATTGCCGGAAAACAGCCATTTAGTCACCCCGGAGGAGGCAGCGTCACTGCTGGCAGCTGGGTAAAGATTCACTGAAAATCCTACTTCCCAAAGCGAATGGCAATGGTGCCACCCTCTTGCCACCCTCTTGCCCAGGAGTGAGCGGAATGGGCAGGCTCAGCGGCTCCAGGGAGAGACTTCACTGACAGAAGAGATTCTGAATAAACAGAATAGCATTTTTTCAGGAACTATCTTGTCTTTCTCATGTGATAATTGCTTCTCTGCAAGTCTAATTAATTCGACCATCGCTAAAGAAATGTTCTCACGGCAACTTCTTTAACATTTAAAACAAAGCACAATAAAAATAGTAATAATGTTTTTAAAAATCAAGTGGACACATTCTTATAGCATGAAAACAAAAATGATCTTCAGTTTTTGTTTTGGTAACATGGTTTAAGAGCCAACTCTGGAAGCCACCGCAGCTTAGGCTGGCCAGCTCTTTAAGCTACCTCAGTTGAAAATTTTCCTATTTTGTTACATGGTGCAGAATAAATTGTAATTTGTATCACACAAACTAGTTATGACTATAGGTGATCAGTTACAAGATTTTTTGCCATCTTTGGTTTCTGTCATTCTCTGCAAGCTTATGTATGCCATTAACTTAAAATGGTGCCTCACAAACTGACATACCCTTGTGCTGAAATGAATTATGAAACATTCTTGAGTTACCTGTTAAGCAATTGCTGAATTAGCCCAGTGTTGAAATTCTGTCAGCAATTTGTAAAAAGTTAAATTATGTAATAGAGTCATGATACGTTATATAGCTGAATGGAGTAACTTTTTAACAGCCTTGCATGCAGATTTCTGGGCTGGAAGGCTTTTTATTATGAATTCACTGCCAATGAATGGAAAGTGTGGTACACCTGCTCTGAAAGCATTTCTGTTATAGAAAGGTGTAAAATGAGAGGCAGGCCCAAAGCCTGTGGATGGCTAGAAAAAATGTCCAAGTTGTAATAAGAAAAAAGCAGAACAAAAGAATACATTAAGCTTTTATCTAATAGACCCTCCCTTTACTGCTCATGCTACTTCAATGTACAAACAAGGGCTGATCACCCATTTCACCAGATATTTTACTTTAGACGTTCTGCAGGGAGGACTCTGCTCTGAACTGGAAATTTTGGGATCCAGAGTTGAGCCTGTGTTCTGGCCCAAGATGCACATCCAGTTTCCCTGACGCAGACAGAAAAAAAGCATCAAAAGCAACTGAGCAGAAATCAAATAGGTAGCTGGGAGTAAGGTGCTTTCTCATTATTTCTATCCCAAATTCTATCTATCTCCCATCTGTCTGGCCTGCTGCCTTTTCTGCCTCTGCATCCATCTTCAGAAAGGGCAAAGAAGGCCCCATTCAAGACACCTTCCAGGTATAACCGTGCACTCCAGGGCAGCAGCCCAGCAGCGGCAGCACTGTGTCAGTGCTGCCTTGGACACAACTGTGAGGGGATTCGGGAGTTCTCTTTGTGCAGGTGGAAAAGCCACTCGTGCTCACCTATTTTGTTTAGTCCTACCCGCAGCTTGCCCATTTTAGGGTGACACTGGTGTTCTGCTTTGTTTTGCATAGTTCCTAACACGATGGGGCTGAGTTACTAGAGGCAGCTGCAGTTAGGGAATTTCAAATAACATGTATGTCAAATCGGAAAGGTAGACACCCCCTTTGCTGATATCACTTTCCTCAAGCATTTGTTTTAATGTTGTCATATACCTCTGTTAAGCAGAGCAAGGAAAAGGGGAAAAAGAGAGAGGTCTTATGGAAACTGTACCTGCAAAACATGCTTTTGTATTTTGAAAAGTGCATTTTGTCTCTTTTTCACTTTTCCTAGCTATCTTTTATACACACATACAATTTTCATCCTAACTGCATTATGACCATGTTAACTAAAGCTGTTACGTACACAAAAGAAAATCTAATTCATGTTCCTAGAAGCGTAAGGAAGCTTTAAAGCTGTAAGTCAAGCCTTTTGTTTACTATTTTCTCTGTGTATTTCCACAGAGGCCTCTCTGGGCAATCAGGGTGACAGGCGGTGGCGGTCACTGCGCGTGCACTTTCTCCCTGCTACACTTTACGGGGAACCCTTTAGGGCTGTGCTTCTGACTAGCTCCCACCTATCGGGGCTTAAGCAAAACCTATTACTATTTTTGCAATTTTTCTTCGGAGGTGTTTGACCCCTGTCAACATTTATATTATTTTTGGTAGAGAGGGGACACCACCACTGCATGGAGATACTAACCGGTAACAGAAAGACACATCATGCTGGTTACTTTCCATGGGACATGAAGGACTGCAATACTGAGACACTGAGATCAGAAATGACAAGAGTCACACAAAATGCAGCACAGGAAAAAACAAAATAGCTCTAGATTTGTGAGCTGCAAGACTGAATGGAATTAGCCCATAGTGACCTGGTGAGAAACGTGAGAAACGGAGCAACTGTGTTGCTGCTGTCTGAACTGCATATCCCCCTTTCATGCTCGGACATCGCAGCCACCCTGCGCAGGCAGGAAGGGGACAGAGCTACTGAAAACCTCGCACCAGAGTTACCTGCTGTTTTCACTGAGGCTCCTGCTTTCCGCTAGAGCCAGACTGGGGACTGCGCTTACAGAAATGCCTTCCCACAGCCCAAATCAACAAACTGCAATTTAATACTTTTAAATAAGAAAAATTAGTAGAAAATAGTCAGTTACACACAACACATTATGGATTATTTAAACTGAAAATATGGGAACACGCCATAAAGCAACATACTCTTTTACCCTCGCATATTATGCTGATTCTATACAAACGATCTCAGTTAAAAAATGTAATATACACATAAATATACATATCATAACAACTGCTTAAGAGGCACCAGCTTCACCCCGAGCATTAACGCAGCCAGCAGGGGACGTCCGCGACGACGCTACCCGCTTTCAAACGACGCCTTCAGCGCGCCCCGCCGCGCAAGGGGCGG